GTAAGTTTTAAGCCCACTTTGCGAAGTAGCAAATCATGTTTTAAGCTCACTTGGGGTGGCAAATCCGCGCTTTAGCCCACTTGAGGGTGGCAAATTCAAACCATTTTTGAAAACAAACATGAGTTGAAATGTTCCAATTCTTGCGATTTTAGTCTATACTTACTTGTGTGCGTTACGTAGTAAAGCTAGCTAATAACCGGAATAAGAACACATGAGGTTTATAAAACAACATATCATGATAGTAGAGGCCGATCTTTGATCGGGCGAGCGGGGGTGCTCATTTCAGGACCTTTCCCTCTCGTACCCAAGTTGCCGAGCCGAGGCAACTTTGGTTATGACGAACATGTGGCCTTTGGCACGAGTCAGGGTTTCCTAAATTTCCCCAAAATAAAATATTTAGGTGGGGACTCTGTAATCTGGCAAAGCAGTCCAGTTTTGGCATTATTTGATTCAAAATCAATTTTCCAAAATGATTTGCTGGATTGGACTCTTTGGTGATTATCAGTTTCACATCGCACTTGTGAGACTAGATTCAGAATCGTGACAGGAGTTCGAACTGTAGGACCAATTCGAGCTCTCCGAAAGGGGGCGCGAAAAAGTTGAGCTACAGCTTCTGGCGACTCTGCTGGGGACTTAGAGAACTTGACTCGAACTTATGTATGTCATTTTATTTACACTTATGTGTTTCTTTGCATTGCATTGCATTTGCATCGGTGCGCCTACCTCACAGTGTTTTCCATCTGTTATTCCTAAACGGTTTGTCGGAGGCTTGCTTGGAAAAGCTTGCCATAAGGCTGACCGGTTATAGGCTCTGCCATGATGGGAACACAAGCCTTGGTTCTGGACTGCCGCTGTACCATTTGATCCTCCTTTCACTTCTCGGTGTTAGGAGCGAGAGGTATATTAGGTAGTCTTGCTGAGGTACCCTTTTTGACCTATCCACCTAGTTGCATATCGAAAGCAATAGAGGCTGTTCGAAACTAGGACAAATTGCTCACCTAAATGTAGGTTTATTTGAAACCGCTTGCTTGCGTAGCGAATCCCTAGTTCTTGATGAAATTAGGACAGGGTAACACTACCCCACCCTACCATAGGGGTGTTTTTGGATTTCACTTGCTTGATACGTGCTTTTAGAGTGAAACTCTGCAGGAATGTATGTATCAGTTGCAAGTCTGGGTATCAGTTTGAGGGTATCAGTTTTGAGGCAGAAATCAGTGTTTGAGTACAGATTGTCCAGCTTATGATTTCAATCGTGTGTTGTCTCTGTCTAAGCTGAGGTGCTGTGCGTTTTCTGATTTTTGTTTCTTTTGCTTTATTTTTCTTTTTGTAAGGTAGTGTTTCACAATTGCTTTCGACAAGGCAGTTACCCCCCTAGCACTCTAGACTAGAGTAAGGCGACTTTACCGATCTGGGGATCTTGTGAGAGGACAACCAGTGTTTCCTTCGCTACCTCCGGTTACGAGACGGAGGAGAGTCAAGCATAGATCACCGGCTCAGCAGTCGCCAATTCAACGGTCATTATCTACGTCACCTGTGTGCAGTTGGGCCCAGTTTTCTGCTTATTTTGGGAGGCAATTACGTCGGCAATTCAGCAGTTACTGACTACTTCGCCTGTTCTCAGTCAAACCCAGTCATCTGCTTCCACATCAGAAAGAGACTACACACTAGTTCTGATAGATTAGCACCCCTTAGTCAACATGGAGGATATGATGCGCCAGCTTCAACAAACCATCGAGGCCATGCAGCTGGACGCTGTTCGTCAAGTGGAAGTTACCACTCACCAAACGGAGATTGTAGCCCAGCAGGCTAAATTGATTGCTAGGCTACAGCAACAACAACCGCAACAAGCAACAGCTTCTGTATCCTATCCACCTCGTACAGATATTCCAGTACCCAGAGCTCCTGCTCCTATAGCCAATGTCCAGGAAAATGCGGACATCCCAGTGGATCTGATTCCACCCTAGACTTCCAAAGCACCGGTTTACCCAATGGAGGAACCATTTGAGTTTGAGGTCGACCCTACAGCGTTAAAAGTGAGCAAGCTCGAGAAGCTTTTCAAAGAAGCTCAGGGTGTCAATTCGATCCCAGATATAGAGGACGGTTATACAGATTCGGCAGTGACATTGCCAAATAGATTTAAAATACCACATATAGATCGCTTCGACGGCTCGGGTGATCCCATAGTCCACTTGCGGCTATTTTCAGATATTCTACGACTGAGGGGCCTGACTAGACTGCATAAGTTATCCCTCTTCGGCCGGACCCTATCGGGTATCGCGGCTATTTTGTATGCTAAACTGGAAGATTCCGCGAAGAGGAGCTGGGAAGAGATGGCTGAGGCCTTCGTTGCCCAATATTCTTATAACACTCAAATCGAGGCACAACTTGTGATCTCGAAGCAACTCGTCAAGAGCCGAAGGATGGCTTCTCCGATTTCGTCACTCGGTGGAGGGCCAAGGCCTCCATGATAACCACCCGACCAGCGAAAAAGGACCAAATAAGAATGGTCATCCGTAATCTGCAACTGAGGCTGCTACAAAAGATGATAGTCTTACCCCTGCCTACATTTGCCGACCTTTATGAAATAGGGGTACAGATAGAGGATGCGATGAAACAGGGTCTGATTGACCATGAGAAAGTGCAGTCCAAGAGGGCTTTTACACGCAGTTCAAATGCGGCTACGAGTAGTAATACAGCTGCAAGAACTTTTGATGTTGGTATGGTCACCACCACACCAAAAACAACCACCCCTTTTGCTGGTACATCCGAAACCACCTCACAACCTACAAAACACCAACCTCGAGGCCAAAAGGTTTTCACCCCACTCTACATGTCTCTATCTGTGGCCTTGAGGGTCCTAATTAGAAAGGGACATCTAAAGCCACTAGAGCCGCGCCCATTGCCTAATCCCCTCACTTCTACACACAACCCAGCCAAGTACTGCGCTTTTCACTAGCAGCATGGTCATGATACCGACCTATGCTTTAGACTCCGTCATGAGATTTAGGATCTCATTGACAACAAAGTAATAGCACCTCCTCAAAAGCCTAATGTCACTACAAATCCTCTCCCACCACATAACCAAGCCCCTCCACCCTAGGCAAATAAACCTTATCCAAACACTAGCCATCCCGTATGATCCCAGTGTATACATCACCCCTCCCATCTACCCAAGCCGGTGCTGTTCATCACAGAAAACACAGACCTGTGCATGATGAGCGCGTCCATATTCTAACCCGAACCTGTGGTGGTGGCTGTGGTGTAAGAAGGTATGCCTGAGGGCTCTATGAGCTTTACTGAAGAAGAGTACAACCCGTGCTGTTACATTGTGCCAACTAGTCAAGCCAGACCAGGGATGGAATTACCGACGTGGATGTAGGTTAATGTAGTCTGGGAGGACGGACCAAGCCAGGGACTGGATGACTTAGCTGAGCTTGAGGAGGACATCAGTAATCTGTAATTCTTTGATGAACAGGATCTAGGAAATGTACAGATTGGCTGGTTTGATATGAATGGATCAACAGATAATACAGGGTGGCTCAGTGATGAACCAGATATTAATGAGGGGTCTCAACCCAAACAAGAACAGCTGGAAATGGGAATTACTGCAACGGCCGGAACGGTTGACAACAAGGGGAAGTTACTGGAGAGCACCGGTACTAAGAATTTTGCTCAAGAATTGGGTAGTACTTATACAGCCGATACAGAACAGGAGGTTGCGCTGAAACGGTTCGAGCATAAAAGAACTGAGAATGATTAAAAGGTTAGAAAAGCCAAAGGCCTTGCAGGGACTGACTATGATGTGGACACGGGAATAATTACAGCGGAACTGGACAGTTGCTTGTCGGTTGTCAGAGGAATGTGGTGGGAAGATGATGATTTGCATCTTGCCCACACAGATGAAGATTGGGGACAGAATCTGCCAGATGAAACTTGGTATTCCGAGGAAGTTGATCACATGACTTGGAGCGGGCATTATTTTAAGCCCCCACACCTGGACCAACCAAAAGCATCAGGGAAGGATAAGGAGATAGAGAAATAGGAAGATAAACTGCTAGGAGAAGAAGCTGTACTGAAGTAGCTGAAGAAGATTTAGGTGGATATATCCATTTGGGGATTGCTCATGGCTTCACGGGTGCATAGACAAGCCGTCCTATCAGCAATGGATAAGGCTAAGCTCTCTATTGACACAACCCCTGAGCAGTTAGTGGGACTGGTTTTCCCGGGAGGGGCCTCACCAACTTTGACTTTCACAGATAAGGAATTGCCGCCTGAGGGCTCCGAACACAACAAGCCACTATACATCTCTATGGAATGTAAAGAGAAGTGGATACCAGTCGTCTTGGTAGATACTGGGTCTGCAATTAATGTGTGTCTGTCGCGTACGACCTATGCTATCGGTTTGAAGCTAGCAGACTTTGCACCAACAACCCAAGTGATTCGAGCTTATGGCAATACAAGTCGGGAAGTGATGGGGACGGTTCGGATTAGAATGTAGGTTGGCCCCACGCAATAGGACATTGAGTTCCACGTCCTGGACGTTCCAGCCACTCTTAATTTACTCATTGGACGGCCGTGGCTGCACCAAATGAGAGTTGTCTCTTCCACTCTGCATCAGATGCTGAAGTACCCCCATGAGAAGGGGGTAGTTATTGTTTTTGGAAATTCTTTGATACATCCTCTGCCGGAAGTCACTACACTAGTACTGGAAATAGTACACGGGGATGAGGATGTCTTTTTGTCTGAGTTTACCTTGGCTGAGGCCTAGGTAGTGCAAGATATTCTGGTTATTGATGAGGGGTTGTATGTCAGTGCTCAATCCGTCTACCTTATGAATAAGCTACAACATGTACCCGGAATAGGATTGGCAAGGAGCGGCCGGAAGGGCATTGCTATGTTGGTCGAAGTGCCACTTAATCCTCATACCTTTGGTCTAGGTTACACACCTACCAAAGAGGATTGGATAAGAAATGGAAAGGAAATAGCAGGAAGAGCCAAGACTAAGTAAAGTGGGAACCCCTATGAGCTTGTACATAGACCGATTCAAGGAACCCTAAACGGCCGCTTTGTCTGGGAGGGGGAAGATTTCCCATTCTACGCCTTTCTTGAGCCATGGCTAAATTTTGAGAAGCGGCGTTTGCCCGATTTTGAGATTTTCTTCGACCTGCAGTTGTAAGGGGATGAAGTTACAGAAGAGCAGACTGCCCTACCAGCTGAGGCTGAACAGTGTACAGAGGATGAATCCAATGGCATGGAACCTGAGATAGGAGCAGCGCTGGCTTGTCTCCTCTTGGATCCTCAGATCACAACAGAGAGCTTGGGGAATGACATCTCTGTTTCCATGATTTGGGATCAATCGGCTGTGGACCCTTCTGTCGGCATTCTGGATGCATCTATCGCACCCTCCCTCGTTTGGTAGTTCAAGGAGGGCTTTTTGTCCAGCAATTCTGAATCAGGTAGTGAACCATAATCTGATTCCAAAGAGTCTGTAGAGTTGGAATCAAATTCTAGTTCTTCTGAGTCAGAGTCCGGTATTCTTGGGTTGATAACCCGGATACCGTTGTTTTGTCCAGGTTGTCTTTTTCCTTTTCTTTTGAGTCGGTTGTAACCGAGGATTGGACGAGCTGGAAGTTGTGAATGAGAATGGTACCACTGCTATTTTTGAGTACTTTTCTGTGCCACTTGTATATTGCATAGATCATGACTTTCAAAATTTTGATGAAAACGACGAGGAAAGAATTCCTTCAGTTTTAAAACATTTGATTGATCGAGAGGATGAGAGGTTTGTAAAACCCCTGGTTGATGAAATCACTTCAATTAATGTGGGTACTGAGAAAGATCCGTATCTGGTCCAGATCGGGTCCACGTTGTCTTCGGAGGAACGCGAGCGCTTAGTCGCTTTGTTAAAAGATTTCAAAGATATTTTTGCATGGTCCTATGAAGACATGCCTGGAATCGATCCTGAGATTGTACAACACCGGATCCCTCTTGACCTTGAGGCCGGACCCATCAAGCAGAAGCTTCGGAGAATACGCCCGGATTGGGCTCTGAAAATCAAGGAAGAGGTCACCAAGTAGATAAATACAGGGTTCCTGTTAGTATCTGAGTATCCTACTTTGTTGGCCAACATTGTTCCAGTGCTAAAGAAAGATGGTCGAATTCAGGTGTATGTGGACTTCAGAGATCTAAATAGAGCTAGTCCGAAGAGCGACTTTCCTCTACCATAAACAATGAATTGGTGGACTTCACCGCAGGCCATGTGTTGCTTTCCTTTATGGATTGGTTTTTCAGGTACAACCAAATCTTGATGGCACCCGAAGATAGAGAGAAGACTGCTTTCACCATGCCGTTGGGAACCTATTGCTACAGGGTGATGTCGTTTGGTCTAAAAAATGCTGGGGCTACTTATCAACGGGCTGCAACCACTATTTTGCATGATATGATCCACAAAGAGGTTGAGGTGTACGTGGACGACATGATTGTTAAGTCCAAGGAAAGAGAGGGCCACTACACCGACTTGAAGAAATTTTTCCATCGGATCAGAGAATATCGATTGAGGTTGAATCCATAGAAATACACTTTTGGTTCATAATAGGGAAGATGCTAGGGTTCTTGATTACATAAAGGGGCATCAAAATTGATCCTTCCAAAATCAAGGCCATACTAGAAATGCCACCATGAGGACTGAAAATGAGGTGCGAGGCTTTCTGGGAAAAGTGCAATTCATAAAACGATTTATTGCAAAATTAACCTGACTTGTGAACCACTGTTTGGTCTCCTGAAGAAAGGAAAGAAATTCTAATGAGATGACCGATGCCAGGTTGCTTTTGAGTAGATCAAGCAGTATCTACAGAACTCACCCTTGTTGTCACCGCCAGAGCTCGGGAAGCCTTTGATTTTGTATCTGTCAGTTACCGACACGACACTGGGTTGCTGTAGACACCCCATTTTTGACCGTCCTCAAGACTTGGACGTCACCGTTGAACACCCGGTGATCATCCATGTTTGTGTTCGTTTGGAGTTCCCGAAGGTCTCGGCTACGCCGCCCTGCCTCAGGATCTC